AAGGGCAAGTATTACCTACCTCATAAAATTGCTGTAAAATTTCAAATAAGGTGTGTGTCAGGAGGATGGCAGGCCTGGTGTCCTAAGAACCTCTGGTCACCTCCTCCCCCTAGTCTGCTGGGAGCGCTCTCTGGAGCAGGCAGATGACCACTGCATGATGGATCCCGGAAATAGGGCTGCTGGGGCAGCAGGTGAACCAGGCAGGAGCAGGAAGAAGAGCTCATGGGTGCAGGGCGAGGGTCGCCTGGTGGGCAGCGAGTTGCCAGCAGCCTGAGGTAATTGCCCAGCCCAGCGGAAGAGGATGTGTTTGCCCCGTACCAAGGCCCATCAACATGAAGAACCTCTGCCATGAAAAATAAGGAATAATTTAGAAGATAATGTACAGTGGTGTCCATGAGAACGTAGGAGTGTGGCTCCACAGAGAAGACATATGTTATGAATATGTCCTTTTGTTCCCAAAAGTAACACCAGTGATCTTTAAACTGAGTAGGACTTCATGAAGGTTCTGAGTAAGGTGCTTTGCTGCCTGAGGAAGCTCTCTAAAATGAAGAGGCCTTGTAGTTTGATCGTATTCTACTGTTATTTATCAGTATTTCTCAGACACTCTTATCAGGATTATCCCTTACTTACATGAAATAAAATATAAGATTAAGGCGCATTCTGTCAGAATCTAGGTTCATAGTTGGGTATTTTTTTATTTAAATACGAGTATTAGCAAAAGAATATAAGATCATGCAATTATGCACAACATTTAAGTATCGCTTCACTCATCTACTCATTACATATTCTATTAGATAACTTATCTGTATGAAATTATATTTATTTGCTTCTCAGATATGAGCGACATCTCTAAGTATACCCTTATATATCGCGCAGTGGTAACGCTTCTTGATCCATAGACAATATTTGGTAAAAATTCATAAAAAACTTCAATTACAAATAAAGCTACAGTTTATGAGTATCATGCATTCTGGGAACATTTAATTTTTGCTAATATCGGAATGAATACAAATATATGGATACATATTGATTTAAGGTAATGATACATGTGCCTCAAGACGAGTCTTAACACTCACACTCTAAATTATTTCATATGATATAATGCTGACTTTCTATATAGTATGTTTACAGCTAAAAATAGTAGCAATATAACTATACCTAAACAGTTAATAAAATACATCCATTAGTCAATTCTATCTGTTCTCTCAATCATCATCACAGATTTAAATTATCTCCGATAAGCTATAAGCTGCATCGCAAGATAAAATATAACAGAAATTTGATGAATGTTCACGTCTTAGCAGAAGAAGTTAGATCTCCACTTCATATGGATCACTCATACAGCCTCGATAAGATCGGAGAGTATGTCTGATCCACTTCTACTGCAGTCTCAGTCCCACTTGATAGTGAAGTCTGGTCGAGGCTCCGAGTATAACTTACATCATAAGCTGTCGTCACTTCAAACTCGTTTCATCCAGAAAACCGAACTGGCTTTTTCGGTATTGCCTATACACCATATGCCTTCCATATTTACCTATTCAAAAGTTATTCACATCACCTCCTTCTTCCCTCCCTCCTCCCTGCCCAGTACCATCGTCTTGATGGAAATTTTACTACGCACCTCATGTCAAGTTTCTTTATTCCACTTCTCATGATATGTTTGCTTATCCAACTTTAAGCTTTCTTTTCATCCCTTTGTCTTCATTAGTCACCTCGCACATGTCTCTACTTCTATCACTTTTTAATTTCAAATATTCAAACTTTTCCTATTATGTATACTTATTTTATCTTTGATCATTAATTTTTTTTCATTTTCCCTATCATCACTTTTATTTTTCTCAAAAACATGCATTTCTTCTCCAAATACAGTGTTCTTTTTATCCTTAAATATTAATTATTTTAAAACCTTATAGTATTATTTCTTTAAAATGTAAACGTTCTAAACTTTTGGTGTTATCATTCGTTTTATTTCTATTTTAACTGTTTTTGCTGAGGAGCCGATACATCCAAAACACACTGAAGAAGAAGAAAATCCTCAGCAACAGTGAAGAATTGCCTTGAAAGGGAGCAATCTGGTAGCATATTGAGAATTCATGTATTGAGTTTTTTGGGACATACGCCCACATACTAGTTGGTACTGGCATTCAATTGCAGATCCATACTTTAAGGACATGATCATTCACAGCTGTGAGCTAGGCTGATCCCATGGCACTCTAGCCCAGGTAACAGAGTGAGACTCTGTCTAAAAAAAAAAAAAAAAAAAAAAAGGATATTACCTACCTCATAAAATTGCTGTAAAATTTCAAAATAAGGTGTGTGTCAGGAGGATGGCAGGCCTGGTGTCCTAAGAACCTCTGGTCACCTCCTCCCCCTAGTCTGCTGGGAGCGCTCTCTGGAGCAGGCAGATGACCACTGCATGATGGATCCCGGAAATAGGCGTGCTGGGGGCAGCAGGTGAGCCAGGCAGGAGCAGGAAGAAGAGCTCATGGGTGCGAGGGGCGAGGGTCGCCTGGTGGGGCAGCCGAGTCGCCAGCAGCCTGAGGTAATTGCCCAGCCCAGCGGAAGAGGATGGTTTGCCCCCGTACCAAGGCCCCGTACCAAGGCCCCATCAACATGAAGAACCTCTGCCATGAAAAATAAGGAATAATTTAGAAGATAATGTACAGTGTGTGTCCATGAGAACGTAGGAGTGGGCTCCACAGAGAAGACATATGTTATGAGATATGTCCTTTTGTTCCCAAAGTAACCACCAGTGATCTTTAAACTGAGTAGGACTTCATGAAGGTTCTGAGTAAGGTGCTTTGCTGCCTGAGGAAGCTCTAAAAATGAAGAGGCCTTGTTTTGATGTATCGCTGGTTTATTTAACTAGAAAATTTAGGGATCTTGTCAGATCTGTTCATGGGGGTATTTTTTTTATTTAAACAAGATTGCAAGAAAACAGAGTACAAAAATTAAGAGTACATGACATCACCAATGTCTTAGAATTAGATGGAATTGACCTAGTTGAAGAAAAATCTAAGAACCATATTCGGCGGGTAGGATCTGATCCTAGCAATTTTGGAGCAACAGCCCAACAAAAAGCTACAGGAGGAACATTCTGACTTATTGGCAATGGAAGATACATTGGATGATTTAGTTAAGAATTGTGCTCAGCAGTTATCTAAGAAAATGAAAGGCTAGCATGTGCGAAATACCAAGATACTCCTAGCATTCAAGCCTTCCATGCACAATTGTTACTGTAGTTAAAGCTCTCGCAGAAACAGATTGGATGTTCCAGCTGCAGAGAAGTAGGATCCTATCACAGCTCAAAGGGACTTGTTGAAGTCTACTTGTGTGAAGTGGAGTAGGGCCACACAGGTTTCAAAAGGTCTGAAGGTGTCACCTCTCCATCTGAGAGCCGACATCCAAAACACACTGAAGAAGAAGAAAATCCTCAGCAAAGTGAAGAATTGCTTGAAGGGAGCAACTGGTAGCATTTGAGAATTCATGTATTGAGTTTTTGGGGACCATCCTATGTGGATGGATTATGCATCAGATTTGATTCTCAGAGCACTAACTCATCCCTGTAGTGCTCTTCTTCTCGGTTAGTAGCAGCATTAATGCCAGTAGTACCTTTGAGTAGTTTACTACTTGGATTACTGGATAATTATGGTTTCCACATTTGAAAGCAACTTTATTCATACTTATTCACTGCTTTTTGTCAATGAAATAGACATCAGACATCTTGACTCCTGAAATAACTTCATCACAAGTAATATTACGAAAACAGATGGACAGTTCTTTGTGGACTCTGCCCTTTCCTTCGAGGATTATGTCATATATCACAAAGGAAATTGCCCAACAATAGTTCATGTTTGCAATTAACTGTTAAAATTAGCCAAAGAAAAGCTATGGGAAGCACTGTTTGTCATCATTGGAGTGACTGGTGATATGGTTTGACAAAATAGGGAATACAAGAGAAACAAAAAGTATAGGATAAAAATGAATTACGTTTTAGAGATTGTGTAAGTGTAGGTCAGGTAATTACGTACATGCGGGTCAGGTGCTCAAAGGAAAGATCTGAGCTCTGTATAGTAGATTTGGCAGGTGTCCGTTTGTATGTGATGATTTACACCATGAGAATAGATGAAGTCATCTACTGAACGAATATAACAGGAGACGAGAGGCCAAATAACATTTATATTTAAGGGGAATACAGAAGAAAAACCTTTCCTGAGAAAGAGTAACGAGGGGGGGACTAAAGAAGGTAGTGTCCTCAAAACCAACAAAGCCTTTGCCAAAGGTGATGGCATGGTTTCTGAGCAGTGGTTCCCTTACTGGTGAAATGTGACAAATATTCTACTTTATAAATTGTTCTGAAGGTAAAATGAGATCATGTAAGCAACATCCTTTTTAAATTGTAAATAGGTCCTTGCCTGCGAGAGTGGCCACTGCGTTGGTGCTCTGGGGCTTGGACCCTGGCTAGCCAGAAAACAAACCTCCTCTTATGTGATTGCAAAAAAAAAATAAAAATAAAAATAAATTGTAAATAAAGTACGTAAAGCAACTAGCACAGAGCCTGGCACACAGGGCCTGTTAGTCAATGAATGGTAGCAGCCCTTATCACTGTTGACAGCCAGATTCCCAGTGCAGCAAGATTCTGTAGGCGAGCAAGTTTTAACATACATTGTAAGTAGGAGCTATGTTTTCAGATGCACAGTGGCATTCCAAAGGGGAAACGAGATGTCAGCTTTCTTGCCCTGTTTCTTTAGGTGGCTGCAGGATGTGTTTAATGTGCCCTTGGTCATCCAGATGACAGATGATGAGAAGTACCTGTGGAAAGACCTGACCCTGGACCAGGCCTATGGCTATGCCGTGGAGAATGCCAAGGACATCATTGCCTGTGGCTTTGATATCAACAAGACTTTCATCTTCTCTGACCTCGACTACATGGGGTAAGGAGAAGGCGCCTGGCTGCCTTTTAAATAAGTAGATGCAGATGTCAAGTCATCATGACCACAGCTAAACCTGAAACATTTGAAATGATCTTAAGGCCTGGCAAATGTTTTTCTTCCCTTATGAAATGTTATGATCTGGCTTATTGGTTTCATTTGCCAATAATTTTGAAAGTGGAAAGTTATGTATATACATAGAAAGGGTTAAGTAATGTCATTATCTTAAAGACTCAGTTACTGCCTTCATAATTATATTTAGAGAAAGGTATGCCCTCAGCCATAGCATGATGGCACCTCAGATTTTTACCTTCAGCTGTGACTGAAAAGCTCTTCTTTGCTATAGTTTCTCTCTAAGGATAGTCTTGCAGAGTTATGACATTTTCGCCTTTCCAGTGTGCCTTTTGCTTCACAGAGAAAAGACTCAGTGGTTACACAATTCCTTCACAGTCTGATATTTTAAATCAGCCATTTAATGGGCCAAAATATTTTATCCTGAAAATCCTGTAAGTTTCATCCCAAATGATTACCAAGAAATGTGTTAGAAAAATGAGACTTTGGTCAACCATCACAAGAAGAAATCTATTTAGCTGGTCCAGTATTTCTTGAGCACCTAGGACATGGTCCTTCCAGTAAGGTGATTCCCCAGGAAGAGTTGATTCGGCAAGTGGAGACTCCATCTTGCTGTACTAAGTGTGGCCAGGTGGCCTCAGCACACCACCACCCCGCCCCGTGTTCTCTCCGTTCCCAGGCAAAGCAGGGTGTGGTGGGACACCCAGGTGGTGTAAGCACAGAGCTCCCCTATCACCACTTCCCCAGAACGTTCCCTTTGTGTGGACTGAAAGCTTTAGACCCATTGAGAGCAACAGATGCCCTAATCTGAAATGTGACCTTTCTACCAGCTAGTAAAATAATTGATTTTCTGATTTTACCTATTAGATTTTTTTTAAAAAAATCACTCTTGTTTCTACCATGTGAGTGTAGAGGCACTGTGACATCCTTGAAGGAAGGGAAACAGATGCAGGTCCAAGTCCTGGCACCTCTGTTTAGTGTCTGTGTCATATCCATGAGAACATGGATGTCATCATTATTATCATTTTCGTGGCACTTTATTTGCCTGCTGTCATCCCATTTCTTTCTTTTTTTCTTTTTTTCTTTTTTGAGACAGAGTCTCATTCTATTGCCTGGGCTAGAGTGCTGTGGCGTCAGCCTAACTCACAGCAACCTCATACTCCTGGGCTCAAGTGATCCTGCTGCCTCAGCCTCCCGAGTAGCTGGGACTACAGGCATGTGCCACCATGCCCAGCTAATTTTTTTTCTGTATATTTTTAGTTGTCCAGCTAATTTCTTTCTATTTTTTTAGTAGAGACAGAGTCTCACTCTTGCTCAGGCTGGTCTCGAACTCCTGAGCTCAAACGATCCACCCGCCTCGGCCTCCCAGAGCGCTAGGATTACAGGTGTGAATCACCGCACCTGGCCATCACCCGATTTCTTAAAACAACCTGATTCAACTGCTTGAACCTCAGCACAGACATGCTGTGGGTTCGGCTCCTCCTTTTAAGGCCAGGCAGCACTGCAGACACTGCACAGCAACTGGTGTCCTTTGATGCAGCCTCTCCCCACCCCACCCCTGCCCATCACACCCTTCATCCCCCACCAGCCAGCTATCACCTAAAACACAGGTCTGATCTCGCCTCCCACTCGCATGCCTTTCCCTATCCTCTGTCATCACATGATGGAGAGAAAGTCCTCACTCTTCACTTAGCATACAAGCCCTTTTGTGATTGGCCCCTGTGATCCTCTCTGGCATCAACTAGGTGGAACAATTTGCAGTTCCACATCCCTCACCTTTGTACACACTCTGCTCTGCCCAGACAATTCCCGTGCACTCTTCTGAACCCGCCGGCCCCAGCTTGGCTGATTCCTATACTTTCTTCCAAATGCATGATCAAGTATCACCTTTTCCTGGGACCATTCCTTACCCAAAGTCAGATTTAGATCCTCCTCTCCAATCCCCCAGCACTCAGTGTCTCCTGCCACGGTGTGACATCCACCCGCCCCACTAAATGGATAAATCACGTGATTCTTGTATTTGTACTCTCTGTAGTGGGAACCCTCCTGGACCTGCAGACAGCAGGAGCAAAGCCAAGTTTCTGCCTCACTGAACTTACACGTTGGTGGTGAGATAGGAACAAATAAATACCTACAATAAATATGAATATAATTTAGTGAGTGGATGCATGTTTCTTTACAAACATGGAGTAAAGAGACAGTATGTTAACCAAAAGGATCTGTGATACATTTCCTTAGAAAAGTATTTTATATTTGTTTAATTTTTTTTTTCAGAGACAGAGTCTCACTATGTTGCATAGGTTTGGTCTTGAACTCCTAGGGTCTCAAATTCCTGGGCTCAAACAATCCTCTCCTCCCATCTCTACCTCCCAAAGCACTGGGATTACAGATATGAGCCAATGCTCCTGGCCTATATTCTATGTTGAACCTAAAGTTATGAGAGATGTTTTAAAGGTTAAATCCTGTTTTTGAACTTTACTTAAGAATTTCTGGCCAGGCGCAGTGGCTCACACCTGTAATCCTAGCACTCTGGGAGGCCGAGGCGAGCAGATTGCTCAAGATCAAGAGCTCAAAACCAGCCTGAGCTAGAGCGAGACCCCGTCTCTACTATAAATAGAAAGAAATTAATTGGCCAACTAATATATATAGAAAAAATTAGCCGGGCATGGTGGTACATGCCTGTAGTCCCAGCTACTCGGGAGGCTGAGGCAGGAGGATTGCTTGAGCCCAGGAGTTTGAGGTTGCAGTGAGCTAGGCTGACGCCACGGCACTCTATCCTGGGCAACAAAGTGAGACTCTGTCTCAAAAAAAAAAAAGAATTTCTGGCTAGGCACAGTGGCTCATGCCTATAATCCTAGCATTTTGGGAAGCCTGAGCTCAAGCAATCTTCCCATCTTGGCTTCCTGAGCAGTTGGGAATACAGGCACATGCCACTGTGCCAGGCTATGTTTTTTACTTTTATTTATTTATTTTTTGGAGAGATGAATCTCACTCATGCTTAGCCTGGTCTTGAACTCCTGGCCTTAAGCAATCCTCCCATCTTGGCCTCCCAAAGTGCTAGGTTTACAGGCATGAGCCACTGTGCCCAACCACTTTTTCTTTCTTGAATTTAACTCAAAATCTATATATTTGGCTTAATAAATCTCCTTTTGTGTTTTTGGGACAATGTAGCCAGCTGTCACCCTCTCTTTGAGTAGGAGGAAAGTAGTGAGGCCTCCACGAGGACAGCAGTCAGTGTAGATGCCCCTGCGTGTTTCTGGCCCCTGCATGTGGCCCCAGAGAGGCTTTCCTGCCGAGGCAGTGAGTAATGCAAAGGCACTGGGCTGGGAGTCTGAAAACTCTAGGAGTCCAGACCCAGCGCTGCCCCGCGTGGTTTTGTTCCCCTAGGCATGTCCTTACATCTCTGAGCCCCCATTTTCCTGTGAGGGGAGCTGCATGCTGGTCAGAGACAGCATAGCAGAGGTTGCCAGTGCTCACCTGGGCTAGACCCTGACAGCCACCCCCTGTGTGGCATGTGCACAGGAAGAACTCCCTGCCTGCTCAACTCAGCTCCTTTGTTGTACAGATATGTATTGTGCGTCTACTGTATGCCAGGCTGATGCTGGGGACACAGCAGGGAACAAAAAAACATTATCCCAACAACTGTCCCGAGTTATCTTCAGACTGGGAGAGTCAACGAACAGTCAGCAGGGCGATGGTGACCATCGGGCAGTGGCGGGCAGAGGATAAAGGAAGGTCAGGAGGTGAGAGTGCCTGTGCCGCAGGGTTTCTGAGGGCTCAAGTTACTGCGCGTGAGAGCCCCAAGCACGCCTGGCCCTGGGAAGCACTCAGTGGATGTTGCTGGCTGACGTCTCTTCCGGCTGTCAACCCTATCTGAGTGCGAGGGGCAGATGCTCGCTGGAGGCACCTGGTCAGTCACCTGTTTCTGGGAGACATTCAGGTGCATTCACTGTCACCAGAAGCTGTGAGATGCAGTGAGAAAAGCACGGGCTTTGGGGCAGGTGGGCCTAGGCTCAGAGCCCAGTTCCTGTACTCACCAGGCCAGTGACTATGACCCTTCACTGCTCTGAGCTCAGCTTTATCTGTGCAGCGGAGGCCACGCTGCTACTTGAAGGGATCGGGCGTGTTAACATGTGATCAGCACCTAGCGCAGCTCCCGCCACACAAGGTAAACACAGGAAATATCACCTTGCTGCTTTTTTCTTTCTGTCCTTACAGTGGCCGGCACAGGGTAGGGTCTAGAGAAAAAGCTGCCGAATGTAGTAGTCAGAAGGTACAATATAAGAAGCCACTCTGGGTTCTGCCCCTTCTCTGTTTGCTTCATCTTCAGCCCAATTCCCTCTGGTAGCAGATTGGCTGCCAAGATCCAGGCCTTGCATCCACACCCCTCATCATCCAGAAGAGAGAGTCAGGTTGCTTGAGTCAGCCGCTGTGGTCTAGCCTTGTTGCTAGGGATGGGGTCAGTCCTGGGCAGACAGCAGGACTGCCCCACAGTGGAGGAGGAGTGGGGGCCAGATGCTGGGAGGACAAGCTGCCCAAGACAAACCCTCCTCCTCCTCCTGGGGCCCATCAGTTTCCGTCATATACGTCATGCAGCAACAGGCAGACAGTCTCCCACGACACCGTATGTCTCAGCAGAAAAGTTCCGAGGCTCCAAGCTGGAGCTCTCCAGCCCGCTGAACGCTTGGCTCTGGCAGAGCTTAGCTGTTCTGTGTGAGCCACTGGCCTCTGAATCTGCTTCTCTTCTGGCCTCACTTGCGTGTCTGCTTCACCCTGGTTCCATGCTGATTTCCACCTTCCCCAGTCAGCTCCACAGGTAAGAGTCTGTCTGCTCTGCCTGCTGCAGGTGTCTTTGCCTACATGTGGCTTCTTCACAGCTTCTTGGTGCTCACATGTCGACCACAATGTGGTCCCCAGGCTGTGTCTGTGGCTCAGTGTCTGGCCCGTGCTGAACCTTGTTGACATCCAGTTCTAACTGCTGTGACTTTGCCCTCAGTGGAAGCCCACCCTCCAGCTTGGGGTTTGATTCCAGTTGTCTTTGCAGGACGAGCCCAGGCTTCTACAAGAACGTGGTGAAGATTCAGAAGCACGTTACCTTCAACCAAGTGAAAGGCATTTTCGGCTTCACGGACAGTGACTGCATCGGTAAGGGGCTGCTGCCGCCTGCGCACCCCACCCGCTCCCGCCAAAACAGGAGCTGAGTTCAGGAGGAGACAAACGCCAGGGTTAAAGTGTCTCTGAGATGTTATCATTTGCAATTGTCTCTTAAAATAGGATCCCCAGACGTGGTTTTCCCTGGCACAAAATGCACTGTGCCACTTTCCTGAGCTATGTGAGGCCGCACTGCAGGATACAAGTCTGTCCTCTCCTCAGTCATCCATTTTAAGGTTTAGAAGAAAGAAAACTATGAGGACAACTTTGGAGTTGTCACATCTGTAGTGGGGCCATCAGTGTGGAGCAGCCGTGGGTGGAGCCCAGGGATGATACAGGAGGACAGCGGGGTCTGCCCCTCACGCACAAAGGAGCCTGCAAGTTTTTGTCTTCCTGGGCCTTGGTTTCCCCACTGTAAAATGAGGGGCTTAACTGGAGGTGTCTGAAGCCCTTCTGCCTCACTCTCCCTCATGGCTCTACCTCCAGCTGGTGTGCACAGTTGACCACTGTGTGCGCACGTTTACGTCCCTCTCCATAGGTTTCCATGTCTTTCAGGTGCATTGCCTTGTGGGCTTTTATCTTCTTGAGACCTGTGGCTGGGCCTCGTGACCCCCTCCGCTTCACTTCTGGCGTGCAGCTCCAGGCCTAGCAGGCCTTCAGTGAAGCTGCCAGCCAAGATAGCTCCCCAGGATATGATTCTGGGGCTCCCTGTGGGAAGAGTTTGCCCTGCTTAGAGGGAGCGCATTACAGGGGCCTGTCAGTGAGGGCCCTGCAAGGATAAGTATGGAGAGAAACGCTTGAGCCATCCTCCCACCTCGGCCTCCAGAGTGCTAGGATTACAGGCGTGAGCCACCACACCCGGCCACTGTGTGGCTTTTGAAAGGATCTTTATCCTTGGAATCCTGGCACCTAGTAGGTTGATATCACAGTGAAGGCTGCGATGAGTAAGGCAGCAGTGCAGCAGTACATGATGAATGGCTGCACACGCTTTTGCAAACCCAGAGACCCAGGTGTGAATCCTGCCTCAACCACTTACTTACTGTGTATAGGCCTTGGCCAGCCCCATAGGAGCAGTCTGAGCCTGAATGTGCACACTTTTATGTTTTATTTTTTATTTTTTTTGAGACAGACAGACTCTTCCTTTGTTGCCCAGGCTAGAGTAAGTGCTGTGGCGTCCACCTAGCTCACAGCAACCTCAAACTCCTGGGCTCAAGCAATCCTGCTTGCCTAGCTCCCAGGTAGTGGCTACAGGACGTTGCCACCATGCCCGCTTATTTTTCTTATATAATTAGTGGCCAATATTTGTTTCAGTTATTAGTAGGACGGGGTCTTGTTGCTCAGCTCGGGTTTCAACTCTGACCTGGATCAATCCACCCGCTACGCCTCCCGAGGTGGTTACGTCGTGAGCACCTCGCCCAGCCTGTGCACACTTGTAAAATGCTGGGGCCTCCTCCACAGAGCTGTGATGAGGAGCTAAGCTTGGAAAAGGCCCTGGGCGGAGCCTGGCACTTTATCCGGGGAGTGGCCGCTGCTTTGTGCTTTTAACGATGGTGCTGGCAGCGATGGCTGCCGTCCTCTTAGTCTCCCCAGGGACACGGGGTGTCTCATTCTGAAATGGGCAGTATTACATCAGCAACACCCAAAATACTGAAAACCGCTTTGTATACCAAAGTATTCATCATAATTTATGATAATTAAAGATAGAGAACCTAAATGCCAATTTGAGAATCTGAGTAATATGCGTACTGGAGAATAGGTGGTCTGTACGATGGTGGGGTAACACTACGAAGTGAAAAGGAAGAAATAATATATATAATCACAACTGAAATACCTCAAGTAAAATATAAAGAAAATGGATAAAAGGACATTAATTGGGACTATAGTTTTTTGGGTTTTTTACTTTTTTGCATTTTTGAGGTTTTCTTTATTGACTATTTTATAATGGGGAGAAAACCTATTTTTGTTGATTCCTTTATTAGTTAACCAGAAAAGGAATTGGTCTCATGCATCAAATGCTCTTTTCTTGCTTTCAGGGAAGATCAGTTTTCCTGCCATCCAGGCTGCTCCCTCCTTCAGCAGCTCATTCCCACAGATCTTCGGTGACAGGACGGACATCCAGTGCCTTATCCATGTGCCATTGACCAGGTCAGCAGGCAGAACTGGGTCTGTGGCTGGGCGCGGGGGCTCACGCCTGTAATCCTAGCACTCTGGGAGGCCGAGGTGGGCGGATTGCTCAAGTCAGGAGTTCAAACGCCTGAGCAGAGCAAACCCCATCTCTACCATAAATAGAAGAAATTAATTGGCCAACTGATATATATAGAAAAATTAGCGGGCATGGTGGCGCATGCCTGTAGTCCCAGCTACTCGGGGGCTGAGGCAGGAGGATCGTTGAGCCCAGGGTTTGAGGTTGTCGTGAGCTAGCGGACACCACGGCACTCACTCTAGCCTGGAACAAAGCAGACTCTGTCTCAGCGGCGCAGGTTCCTCGCACTCTTCAGCGGGGCAGGGAGCCATTGACTGGTCCTAGGGGAAGAGGGAGCCGGTTTCTGTAAACTGAGTGGAAGCTTGAGCGTCTTCTGTGAAGATCCTCTCGGGGGCTGCTCAGTGGCTAGAAGCCGGCCATTTGACCAGCTGTCCTCAGCAGACCCCCTCTCCCCACAGGATCCTTACTTTAGAATGACCAGAGACGTCGCCCCCAGGATCGGCTATCCTAAACCAGCCCTGCTGCACTCGACCTTCTTCCCCGCCCTACAGGGCGCCCAGACCAAAATGAGTGCCAGCGACCCCAACTCCTCCATCTTCCTCATCGACACCGCCAAGCAGATCAAGACCAAGGTGAGCAGTGCCCCGGGCAGAGCCTGCCAATGAGAGCAGGGACACATACCCCCCACTTGCTCAGTCCTTTCGGCGTCGGCTGCCATAGCAGTGCTGAATTCCAGGGCTGCCAGCTGTGCTCCTGCGTCACTGCAGGCAGCCTGTCCCTGTTCCCAGACACCAGGTGCGTTTGTTTTGTTTGTGCCCTTTCCTCTAGGTAAAACTCTGAATTGTTTTCCCTGCTTTTCTTACTAACACTGTATTGTAGAAGCAAAGTCATGGCAGTTAGCTTAAAGTTATAATCAGTGTGGATGTTATTAAACATAGCAAAGATATTCGTGTATTTTTGAGCACGCTCTGTGTTCCAGATGCTGGGCCAGGTGCCTTAGTTATGTTTGCTCTTCTTAATTCTCTCTGGGAGCTAGCAGTGCTGCTCCTTTCAGAGATGGAGAGGTGCAGCTCAGAGAGGATCACCCACTGGACCAGCCGTCTGCGCCCAGAAATGAGCGCCATTGCTAAGGGGGTTTAGGTGCTGATTTTCTCCCATAGACATTCTTGCTGAGGGACACAGAATTGGGAAATGACCTTCAACAGGGCAGTCCTGCCAGCCCTGGGAGTGCTGCATGCAGCAGGCACTCGGTAAATATTTGTCAAGTTACCAGAGAAACTAGAACTAGAACTTAGTTTGAGCTTCCTTATTTTTCAGGGCCCCAGACTATTGCTCAGTTCTGAACTGCCAGCATACATGTAATCCCTTCACTATTACGCAAAGCCATTTCCCTGGAAACAAGCATATGTCTGCGGGAGGAGTGATTGCAGAGTGATGGGAACTGTATGTTAGCCGCGTAATGCAACCGTCTGAATCACTGCCAGGCCTCTGACCCTTCTGGAAAATCCCAAGCAGGTTCTGGTTGACAATGGGGAAAACCTTCATCTAAAATCCTTCCTTTAGGGAATGACCTCCAACTCTCCCCCTCAGCTTGAAGCTGGTGTAATTGGGACTTTTTCTTTCCCTTTCACTTCTAGCTGAAACTTCCAGAGCACAGAGTGCAGAGGAAGGGGAGGGAAGGGCCATAAGAGAAGTCATCTGTTTTGTTTTTGAGAAGTTTGTTTTGTTTTTGCTTTTGAGAAGTTGTTTTGCAATAATTGCATATGGCTCTGGAGCATTTTTAATCCGCTTAAAGACCAGCAAAGACCTAGAGGGCTGGGTGAACAGTGAATGGGAGCTAGGAACCACACAGGCAGACAAAGGGTCACCAGGGCCACCAGCAGCCTATAGAATGGGATGAGGTCAGGCCCGCCCGGCCCTCATTGTAGATCCTCCGCCCAACCGCAGCTCCAGAATCAGAATCTCCTTGCTAGAAGAGAGGGAGAGTATGTGCTCAAGCCTCCTCCTGAAAAGTACAGTGATGAACAGAAGCAGTACAGTGATGCAGCTGGCTTTGCTGTGTGATCCAGCTGAATCCTGACACCCTCCCTAGCAGGCTGTGTCCATTTGTGGTTGAGGAAAGCAAGGTTCAGGGGTCCAGCAGCCTTCTTATGTCCACGTAGCTGGGAAGCAGTAGGGCCAGGATGGGAACCTAGGTCCTCCTAGACTGCAGAGCCCCGGTTTTCTTGATTCTAAGATGACACAGCAATCCATTCTTTCCCCTCTTAGCAATCTACACGGAACACTTCTGTGACCAGGTGTATCAGAGATTTTTCCCCACACCAAGCAGTTCTCCAGAGGACACCAACTGGATATCCTATAATTAAACTGAATTCTAATGCTGTCTTCCTGGAGGCAGTGCCAGATCCCACAAGTTGGAGGCCCAGTCCCGGCAGACTGCCCCTACTTCAGATGCCCGTCAAGAGTCTGGGCCACCCGTTCTTCTCACTGGCTGGCTACAAACCAGGGTTCCCATGACCCTCTCCTTGGGTTTGATTAATTTTCTAGGATGGCTCACAGAAACACATTTATTGGTCTATTATCGTGGCTGTTACAAAGGACACGGATGAGCGGCCAGATGAAGAGATGGGTAGGGCAGGGCATGGGCATGCACAGCGCAGGGCTTCTGTGCCATCTCTGGGCGCACCACTCTCCCCCGCAGCTCAGCACATCTCTTTGTCCAGGAGTCTCTACTGAGCTCAGTCTCCAGCCGCCTGTTCCTCTTGCCTTTCCCAGGGACAGATGGGTGGGGCTGGAAGATCTGACCCTCAAATCCTCTAATCACCTGGTCTTTCTGGTGACTGGCCCCACCTTTAGGCTTTCTGGGGCTCTGCCCTAAGTCACCTCATTCACATAATCTCTGGTGTGATCAAAAGACTAAAAATGGCTGGTCACAGCTGTAGCTCACTGAGTGGCTCACTGGGAGGCCGAGGCGGGCGGATTGCTCGAGGTCAGAAGTTTGAAACCAGCCTGAGCAAGAGCAAGACCCTGTCTCTACTATAAATAGAAAGAAATTAATTGGCCAGCTAATATAGCTATAGAAAAAATTAGCCGGGCATGGTGGCGCATGCCTGTAGTCCTATCTACTCAGGAGGCTGAGGCAGCAGGATTGCTTGAGCCTGGGAGTTTGAGGTTGCTGTGAGCTAGGCGGATGCCACGGCACTCACTCTAGCCTGGGCAACAAAGCGAGACTCCGTCTCAAAAAAAAAAAAGACTAAAAAGATTTTCCTATCACTCAAAGTTTTTAGGAGCCTAATATTATAACAAAAGATGCTCCTATCACCCTTCTTACTCAGGAAAGTACAAGGAATTTGGGAGCTCTGTGTCAGCAGCAAAGACCAAGCATATTTCACATTGTACACAGGCCTCTGCTCTCCAGGTGTCCTTGTGAAGTGGGAGCAGTCGTTCTGGCTTCACAGACTGCCGTGGGTCTTGCCCGAGATCACCTGTGAAAAGTGTGAAGTGCGGCATACCGCCCTAGTTTAAGGTTTGAGTTCAGCAAACAGCTGGACAGCCCAGTACTGTATGAGCAGAAACATGGGTCTCCTGGCCTGTCCCAGGACCCTGCCAGAGCCCACAGAGTCAGCCAGCACCTTTCACAGGCAGCCCTTTTCAGTGGGATCTTACGGCCAGGCACAGTGGCTCACCTGTAATCCCAGCATTTGGGAAGCCAACAAGGGAGGATCACTTAAGGCCAGGAGTTCAAGACCAGCCTAAGCAAGAGTGAGACCCCCATCTCTACAAAAAATAGAAAATTAGCAGGGCATGGTGGTGTACCTGTGGTCCCAGCTACTCAGGAAGCTGAGGCAGAATTGCTTGAGGCCAGGAGTTGGAGGTTGCAGTGAGCTATGATTACACCACTACACTCTAGCCTGGGAAACAGAGCGAGACCATGTCTAAAAATTAAAAATAAATGAATGCATGAATGAATGAGGGATCTCTTCTACAGGACAAGGACAGATATCCATAACAGAGGTTGCCAGCCTGGCCACCCACCCATGATCTCTGGTCACAGGGCCCCTTCAGGCCCTGTTCCCAGCGCAGACCTTGGGCTACAGCTCAGCAGCTGCAGCTCACTGGCTCTAAGAGCTTTGTGGGTAAACCAGGGTTCTGCCCCTCAACCCAGGCTCCTGCTTGGCATCGTTTCCTGTCACTCAGAGACACAGTGCTCACCTCTTCCATCATCTTAGATCCTGGTGGCAGCATTCTGGGCCGTGCCACCAGGACTGTTCTCTACCTTATCCCAAACCCACTTTCCTAAGTCAGGCCTGACAAACTATTGCCCCAGCACTACTGAGCACTGGCCAGATCTGACACGCAGCAGACCTAAGCCACTCGCAGTTCTTCAGCAGCATCCGGAAGCCTGGGGTTCTAGGAAGAGTCAGCCCAGCCCCGACACTCCCTGCCACACGAAGCAGGCTCTTGACACTCTGGGTCTGGTTTTCTTCACCTGTAAGGCAGAGAAAGCAGTAACAGAGGTCTTTAGGTTATTGGGGATAAAATGTTTGTAATAATCCTAACAGCCTCCCCCTGCACCCCATGTGGCAGGCACATCTGCTGGGTGCCCACCATAGGACAAGGGGCTTGCCCCAGGGAGGAATAATACGTGGGTACTGGGCAGTGCCTGAGCATCCTGGAAAACGTGCAGCAGAAGTGAGTTTCCTTGTTCTCGTCTCTGACAAAGGGCTGGGAACTGCCCTTTTAAGTAACCGTAGAACTGCCCTTGGAGTCTGGGAGACTGTTTTTAGACTTTCTTCCTGACATTGGAGCTGCTTTTCCAAGGCCCAGCAAGGGTGGGGTGTGAGGGCTGCCACACAGCCAGTGACTCCACCAGGCCTTTCGACCCTAGGAGAGGCCAGTACTAGTTGATTTTTCTTCTTCCTGTTTATTTGGTAGTCTCCATAGTTTGCATAAAGAGAAGGCAAACTTCCATTTGTTACCTTTATTCTTTTAGCTTCCCAGATGCCCTACCAGCCAGCCACGTTGCGCCAACTCCCCTTGTGCAAGGCCCTGCCCAGGCCTCTTGAGCAACTTCTACTTTCCCTGAGTAGCCTCCTGGCAACACCCCTCCAGAAAGGAGATGGGCTCCTTCAGACCTCACTTGTTCCTGGTGACCTTTACCCCTAGCATCCATCTGCTGCTTCTAGATAATCCCAAATTATCCAGTTAGTAATCTGCTCTGGAATCCTTCTGGATAGACTTACTAAACATAGCAACTTGGAATTTATTGACTCTTCCCACCCTTTTTTACCATTAAAAAAATTTTTTTGTATGACATTTGTACATAGTAGGTTTCTCAAATACCCGTTGAAAGAATGTTAAAGGGATTTTATCTGTCCTTCCTGGCTTTTATTTTCCCCACCTCTTGGCCCTAATTACTCCAAGATTATCAAATTTATCTTAGGCGATTCCTAAGGCCATTTTGTTAGTTTCTGAGTTTTTCTTTGGCTCCCAGAAGTTTGCCTATTTTTCAGTGGAGGCCCGTGCGTAGGCCCTTCCTGACAGCAGGCGCCTCGCGTGTCTCGCTTCCCTCATTAGCCTCATCCTATGTCTCCTTGTTCTCATGTTCACTGTAGAGAAGGCAGAAGCCCAGCTGGGGTTGGGTCCTGCATTCGTGTGCCCTGTTAACCTAGCTCCCCGGTCCCAGGGAGTAGGCTGCCCTTCCTGGTCATCCTTTTCTCTGAACATGAATTTTACTCATCCTTTTTTGAAGCTCATCATTGGAGAATACTTAGGACATTTTCCTAAAATTTCAGCCCAGGTAGTGCTTTGGTCTTCCCAACTCCGTTCTCTGGGGTCTTTGAGAAGAGGGGCCTTCAAAGCTCATTTCCTCTCCCCTTCCCCTTCCCCCTCCCCAGGAAGGAACTGTGTGGGACCCTCTGCCAGCTGTGGGTCCCAGCCTGCCTGTGGTTCGGAATGTGACAGCACTCACTGACCTGACTTCCAGCACTTGGGCTCCCGGCCAGTTTCCAGGTGCAGGACAGGCAGGACTGACAAGCATTTGTGTGTCCTCTTCTGGCACAGGTCAATAAGCATGCGTTTTCTGGAGGGAGAGACACCATCGAGGAGCACAGGCAGTTTGGGGGCAACTGTGACGTGGATGTGTCTTTCATGTACCTGACCTTCTTCCTTGAGGATGACGACAAGCTTGAGCAGATCAGGAAGGTGAGATGGGAGCCCTGAGGGCCCGCTCAGCCCCAGCCTCTGACACCATCCCCCACTCACTCACACGGGGCCTGGGGACCCCCAAGCTGGGCATTGGGGGGGCGCCTGGAGCTTCCTCAGTGTCTGGGCCTTAGGAACAGGTGCTCAACTGAAATGAGATGAAAACTGAGTAGGGTCACTTGTGTTTTTTAATCATATGCCGAAAAACCTCTTGAACAAATCACAAAAGAGAAAATACAAATTTCTATTTATTTGGTAGCCACACAAAAAGATTTCATCTTACTAGTCATCAGAGAAATATACGTTTACACCATCAAAGTTAAAACAATTCACCTATGGAATTAGCAGGGGGGTTTGTGTTGCTGTTGACCGGGTTTTCAGCGACCGCATACCAGAGGCTCCAGGTCACGCCCTCGTGAGCGGAGCATCTACGGGCACAGGCTCCGTGTGCGGTGTGGCCCTGAGTGCCAACAGCCCAAAACATGTTCACAGCCTTCGCCTCGGGTATTCCAATTCTTAGTATTTTTTCAAAGGAAATAATCCTGAATAAAGAAAAGCTTCTGATGGGTGGGGTGGCTCACGCCCGTAATCCCAGCACTTTTAGGAGAGGCCAGAGGATCACTTGAAGTGAGGAGTTCCAGACCAGCCTGAGCAGGAGCAAGACCCCGGTCTCTTTTAATTAAAAAGTAGGAAATTAGTCGGGCGTGGTGGCTTGTACCTGTCATAGTCCCAGCCACTCAGGAGGCTGACACAGGAGAATCACTTGAGCCCAGGAGTTTGAGGTTGCAGTGAGCTATGATGAGGCCACTGCACTCCAGCCTGGGTGACAGAGTGAGACCTGGTCTCAAAAAAAAAAAAAAGATGAAAGAAGAAGAAAAAGCTTTCCATGTAAAAATGTTCAAAATGATAATAGCAAAAAAGTTCAAAACAGACTCTGTACAACAATTCTGTAAATAAGAATTGTTATAGGTGCTCACTTCGATCAAAAAAAAAAGAGAAAAGAATTGTTATGGGACGGATTATTGTATAGGCGTTAACTACTTTGAGTTTTAGTGACATAGGAAAACATGCCTGCGGCAGTGAGTAAAGGACACCAAATTGAAATGCTGTGAGAGATCAACTATGTTTAGATAAAACACACAGGGAAGAAAACTAAAAGAAAATGTGAAATGTTGGCAGTGCTCATCAACCTCTGAGTATTAGAATTGAGGGTGTTTCATTCTTTACCTTGCCGATACTTTGTTGTTTGAGTACTTCATTAAGTTTGTTTAATGAGCATTTGTTGCGATCAGGAAAAATAAAATCACAGATTTTGTAGAAGCCAAGCAGGCTGACAGGATGATGGTTTGTTTGGTGTGCTCGGGCAGTCTTAGCTGCTTAGCAGAGCCAGGTTTTCAGTCATTTTAGGAAAAGTGTAAGGTGTGGGTTATTGTCACAGTAACAGAAATGAAAGATAGGGTGCTGTGGGCTGAGTTGGTGTCCAGAGGCAGGAGGGAGCGGCCATCTCTCAGCCCCTCTGTCCCCCCTCCCCCGCAGGATTACACCAGTGGAGCCATGCTCACCGGCGAGCTCAAGAAGATGCTCATCGACGTGCTGCAGCCCTTGATTGCCGAGCACCAGGCCCGGCGCAAGGAGGTCACGGATGAGATAGTGAGAGAGTTCATGACTCCCCGGAAGCTCTCCTTCGACTTTCAGTAACGCTCATTTTGTATATGCATATAAAAAGATGTCACGTATCAGTAATCCCAGCCCAATCAAAGCACTGCTACCTGTAGACTTCTGTCACACTGCAATTACTGGGCCTGATGTCTCCAAGCCCCCTGAGTGTTCCAAGACTGTTTCTTCCTGTGACTATCATCACTTCTGTCTCTTGTGGGCAAGACACTGTGGGGTGATAAGGGTGCTAGCTAACTTTGCATGGTCAGATAGAGAATCCAGCTGGAGTCTCTCCCACAAAGCAACCCCGGGAGTGGAGCCCGTGCCTGGAAGTCCCCTGGCCAGCCTGCCGTGACCCACAGAGGACTGTCCATTTGGAAACATCCCAGGCTTCCAAATATACTGTTAAAATCTATGCTACAAAAAACTATTCTATGTATGCATATATGGAATCAAAATGTCATTATTGTAAAGCTAAAAAGTGTTTTGAAAAACTGATATAGGGAAGCTAAATGAGCACAAGATGTAATTCAGCTCATGCCAAAAAAAATAATAATAACTAAGAGCTTTGCTAAACATTTAACTAAGAAACCACCCAGCTTTAAAAGCTACTTTTACCGTTGAATATTGCACAGAATTGGGCAACTTTTATTAAATTGAGTCTTGCAGGTGAAACTTCTCAGTTTACTTACTAAACTCCAGACCATGCATGTATTCCACTCCAGAAATCATGCTCTTTCCTTTAGTATACTAATTTTTTGCCCACCAAATAATCCTCGACACTCCATCCTGCAGAAACCAGAGGTGGCTTCACCCTGCCTGTGTTCGATGCTGAGGAGAGACTGTGGCTTTTGCTTTGGCACTAGACTGGTGTAGAAGTCAGCAGAGCAGTGCCCTGGCTGTGTCCCCAGCGGCGGACATGGCTAGAAAAGCGCGGTGTCAGCCCTTGAGGCCCTCTCGGGTGTCTGTGGGCAGGCTGCCTGGAGTCACAAACCACGTGCAGGCTTGGAAAAGCAAGGCCACATCTCAGGGAAAGCCCTTGGTTGACATGTCTGGGTCTCCTCTTGACGGCTTTGCCCGTTGGAGTAAATAAACTTCCTTTGCTCCTGCCTGCCCGCGTGGCTGTGCTCTGTCTGGGACGTCTGAAGAGGGAGCCGAGGCCCCTCCCCTGGCCCCTCGGGGAATGGCCTGAAGTCTGCTGGGGTCACATCTGGGGGTGAGAACTCGCAGTCTGAGGAACCACACAGCGCTGAGATGCGGGCTCCCAGGAATCAGCCCGGGCTGCAGTTGCTCACGCTGGGAAGTGGCCCCAACAGCCTCCCCCGAGGGCCCTCTCTCACCTCACTGGATGTTTCCAGCTGCCTGGTGGGGAATGCAAACAGATGTTGTCCTCATTTTGTGGAGGAGGAGGCCGGCCATGGCCGCTCAGGCACTGCCATGTAGTGACTGGGGGCTGGGCCAAGCCCCGTTCTCATGGGGCCCAGGGCTCACTCTACCTGCCCATCCTCATTTTGCAAGTGGGGAAACTGAGGCTTGGGATGGGGGGACATGACTTGTCCAAGGCCACGTGTGACTTTGTGACAGAATGGGTCTGCCCTACTCTTGGTGTTCCTACCTCCACACACACAGGGATTATTTTACAATTGATGGAACTGAGGTTCCCACCATGGGAGGCTGGAGCTCTGAGTTCAAGTCCCCACTCAAGTGACAGTATGAGCTCACCTAGGTCTCATCTTCCCAGCCTCCATTCCCCCTGGGCCTCCCAGGCCCCAGCCCCTGCCCACCTGGATGCAGTGGCCAGTGTGGACGAGCTTCCTGCACGGGGTGGTGTAGCCAGGTGGCTCCCTCATACCTAAGTCACAGGTGCACATATGTGGATACAGTAAGGGCCGACGTGCGCAGTCCCCAGGGCGGGAGAGCTGCTGGGCTCGGTTACGGACCAGCCAGAGCGTCTATTGGCAGGGCCTGGGTGGGGCCTGGGCCCAAGGAGGAACACACCCACACAGCTCCTCCCTCACCAGCTGTGTGACCTTGGCCAAGCCACTAACCGCTCAGGCCCTCCCTCTCCTGCCCTGTGAAAGCAAGCAGTGCTGCCCGGTGTTCAGGGTCTGCGCAGTGCCCTGGTCAGCGGTCAGGTGGCTGGTCAGGACAGAGGAGAGCCACAGGGCTCCCGCACCTCCTCCACATTTTGCTAAAAACTGGTGGCTTGAAGTTTTCTGAGCAAGGGCTCATCTGGATGAGGAGGGACAGGGCGGTGGCCCAGCAGGTGTTGGGGGTGAGGCGTGAGGTCAGTCTCAGCCCTCTGTGGTGAGCAGTGCTGGGGGAGCAGTCCTCACTCCAGCAGGCAACGCCAACTTGCGGCCACGTGGTGCCAGCCCAGCTTGCCTCTCGCCGCACGGCCCCAGCCTGCTGGGAGGAGCAGCTGAGTCTGCTTTTGGGGCTGAGGGTGGGACTGGTAGGGGGTGGCTGTGGAGCAGGAAACAGGCCTGCCTCTGGCCTCCAGCCTCCAGCCCACGCTGCAACGGCAGGAGCCAGCCCATCTCCCCGCTTTTCCGTCAGACGCAGACGCTCTGCGGCTCTCTTCTGGTCGAGAGGGGAGCTAGGAGGCGCCCTCTTAGCCTCCCATTTGATGCAAGCACCACCTTGCTTTGTATAAGGCAGCGGGCTGCGTAAACGGAGAGGACCCCGCTGACGCCATCTCTGTTGTGTGCCATTTACGTCTCCGCTCATCCCAGATCCTCTATCTTCTCTCTCTTTTTATCTTTTTTTTTTTTTTGATGTCGAGGCTCATTCACCTGTCACATGAAAGTAACTAGAGTGCAAGATAGGCATCATTCAATAGCTCACTGCACCTCAGCCTCCATAACCTCCTGAGACTCCTGACGTGCCCTATCCCTGCCTGGCTCTCAGCCTTCCTCAAGAAGCTGCAGGACAACAGGCGTGAGCCACCACTCCCAGCAAATTTTTTTTTCAGGACTATACCTTTTTCTCTGGTTTCTCCGCCAGTCATGCCCAAGCTGGTCTTGAACTCCTGAACTCTTGACCTCAACCGATCCTCCTGCCTCAGCCTCCCAAAGTGCTAGGATCCGTACCCGTGTGTTCTCTATTTAAAGAGGGGGGACTATCCTTGGGGCCGCAGTGTCGCCACGGATTCCCCGAGGCCAGAGGCGGCATAACTCGGGCAGCAATCGATGTCTCTGAGGTCAGGCGCCGAGGTTCGACCAGCCTGAGACAATCTCTGTCTATATCCGCGCCATCTCTACTATAAATAAAAAAAATTATATATGCCGCAACTCAATTAACCCCGATTTACATATATAGGAAAAGATTAGTCTAAGGTCATGAGGTCTTCTAGGCACATCCTGTAAGTCCCTGTTGACATATCCGGGTCGCCTGGGTATGGCCGCAGATATGTGTTTGTCTCTCTGTGCTCATTTGTATTTCTTTCTGTAGGGATCTCTCGGGGGGGGGGTCCCGGGGGGTTTGGCCGTGCTGAAGTGCATATAGCTGACACCATGGCACTCACTCTAGCCTGGGCAACAAAGCAAGACTCTGTCTCAAAAAATAAATAAAGAGGGGGCAGGTCCTTGCCACAAACAGGTTGTAGGGAGAGTACATACAGGGTCCTTCCTGCAAAGCCACCTCACCGGTGACAGCCCAGTGAGCCAGCTGCTCAGAAGGAGCCAATACACCCTCCCGGACTAGGACCCTTGGAGCCAGCAGTGCTGCCAGTAACCCTCCTTCCAAGACGAGACAAGTGTGGTCAGCGGTCAGGTGGCTGGTCAGGACAGAGGAGAGCCACAGGGCTCCCGCATCTCCTCCACATTTTGCTAAAAACCGGTGGCTTCTTGAAGTTTTCTAAGCAAGGGCTCATCTGGATGAGGAGGGACAGGGCGGTGGCCCAGCAGGTGTTTGCGGGTGAGGCATGAGGTCAGTCTCAGCCACGTGGGCAGGGTTTGAGGGATTCTTTAAAATTTTTACTAGCTGGTGCTTTTTCCCAGCATTTGGCCGGAGCATCTCAGCGTCTTTCACTCCAAGCTGGATGTGCTTGCAGGAATCTAACGCAGGACTCCATCCATCCGTCCACTCATCGTTCATTCCACAGCCCTCAGCACCTGCTATGCACCAAGCCCAGGTGCTACATCCTGTCCTTGGGCAGCTCACAGGCTCGGAGTGGGCTTGGGGGCAGATGAGTGACAGACAACCAACCAGGTCCCCATGGAAGCAGAGCAGGAGACACCTGAAAGCTCGGCGGTGAGGCGGTAGGGCTTCCTAGAGGAGGTGATGCCTGAGGGGCAGTCAGCAAGGCAGGGCGGGGGAGGGCATCTCTGGCAAAGGGCACAGGGCGTAAGGTCAGGTACCCACAAGCTCAGCCAATACGGGACCAGCATGACACGGGAAGAGGATTCCCCCACACCCTGGGAATAGAGGGTTGGCTCAGCAGGACACTGGTGGGCATCGGGTGCACAGACTCAGCCAGGGCCGGTGTCCACGCGTGAGAGTAGTCGAGGCAGGTGTGTGCCAGCTCACCAAGTCCCACCTGCCCCTCCCAGCTGTGTGGCGTCGGGCGACCCCCTCTCCCTCCCTGAGCTGTTTGCTAGTGTCAGGCTGCTGGGATAATCCGGGTAAGGTGCCTGGCACCCTCCCACCTCCACCCCTCTGGGGGGGCGGCTCACAGCCAGGGCTGGCTGGAGCCAGGTCGCACTCAGGAAGCAGGTGGGTTTGGGACGGATGTTGAGGAGCGTGGACGTCATGCTGAACAGACCCCTGCTGCAGGGCTCAGCCACAGGCCAGGACCCCACAGCCAGCCAGGGCGCGGGCGGGGCCTCAGGTGCCCGTCTGCACAGAGGGAGTTCTGGCCACACAGGCTGGGGGCATGTCCAGCAGGACGGGAGCTGGGCGGGCCATGGCCCCACACTGCCGGGATGACCCAGGCCCCCGGGGGTCCAGGGATGTGCTGGAGGCAGGGAAGGGGCCAGCAGACCACGGACCAGGAGCAACACCACTGAGCCGCCTCAGAAACCGAGAAACCTTTTATTGACAACAGCTCCCAGTGGGCCTTTGGGGTCTTCACGGGCAGGCGCGGCATCTACAGGCAGAGCGAGGGTGTGAGCAAGGGTGCACGAAGTTCCTGGGCAGGGACGGTGACCCCAGGCCCCTGCCAGAGCCAAAGCCCAGGTGGGCACGGCTGTCCTGGCAGGGTCCTCTCAGCACGGCCTGGTGCAGGGAACAAGGCGGGCCTGGAGCCACCCACGGTGGCAGCCCGGCAGAGCAGGCTCACCGCAGCCCCCAGGCTGGTGGGGGGCGCAGCTGTGCCCGCCTCTGAGGGGACAGTGCGCGCAGAGCATGGGAGAAACGGCAGTGGGGGCAGAAGGATGGGATGGGGTAGGGGGTGCGGAGCCTGCGGCCGGGCCTATGCAGGGATATTCCGAAGGCGTGGGTCGGGACAGAGGCCATAGGGAAGCTGCACGGACAACTGACCACATGACGACCGACTCCACGTGACATGCGCTCGTAACTGAGGCCCGCTCCTCCCTGGCTCGTGTGACCCTCAGGCCAACCCCGGCTGACGGCAGATCAGCCCCTGGACCTTCTTGTGGTCGGTGGCTGGGCAGGCCAAGCTCGGGCCTCGGGTGACCAGCACAGGGAGGCGCCCAGCTGTCCCGGCTGGTGGCCCTGTGGGGGCCCGACCCCAGCAACACTCCGCTTTCCTCGTCCAGCCACCACCACCTCTGGCAGCTGCTGGCCGGTTGGCTGCTGGGGGGTCGGGACGAGCTACGTGAACAGGTCCCGGGTGAGCCTCAGCACAGCCTCGTAGGTGACGAAGACCACCATGTTGACGGGGAAGGCGCGGCAGCAGTTGAGCGCCAGCCCTTTGAAAAGGACCCGCGGCCCCTCCTCCCGCACGCTGGTCACCACGCAGTGCAGGAGGCCCCGGTAGCGCTGCTGGCCCTGCCCGTCCGCCTGCAGGCGCGACTTGATCACGTCCATGGGGGTGGCCACAGCCCAGGCCAGCGCCCCTGCACAGCCTCCGGCCACCAGCACACCCAGCACATCTGCAGGGAGACCAAGGGCCTTCGCTGGGAGCCCGACGGGCACCCTGGCTCCCTG